AAAAAGTGGGCGAGTCACTCATTGATGCTACATATCCATAGCCGGTAGTTCCAGGGTTGACCTATTTTGGACGACGGCGACCCTTTAAATTTGAAAATAATAAAATGTGGGTGTTGAAATCATGCGAACAGAAAACCAGACACTGCTTTACACTCTTCAGAAACCAAAAAAAAAACTTATATCGTCTCAAGGCTATATAGGCTTCGATGATAGGCTGATGGATGAATGGATAGATACCCACCCAGCTTATTTCGAAATTTGGTCGAAATCTCAAATTTGGCTACAAACTTGTCCCTAGGGGTATTTTAATCTCCGGAACACGAATATCACACTTGTTTGCTGCAAAAACGTCTGCCAAGAGTTCTGTGGGCTCCATGTGCAGTCTTTAGTAAGTACCGCCGAAACTGATTAGGAACCAGAGTCAACCCTGCGTTGCGCAGTTCTCAACGGCCACGTTGCGCAGTTTCGCCCGATTAGACACGTTCTCTCGCGCGAACATTCACACTCGCATGCTCGAGCCGTCTGCGTCTCCGCCCATACAGCGTGCGTTGAGGATCTCTCAACGTGCCGTTGCGAACTGCGCAACGCAGGGTTGACTCTGTTAGAACTCCTCGCAAAGTCTTTGCACGGGTAACTACAGGCAAGCATTGATCGAGTAAGGTAGTTGGGAGCCTTTTTCAATCATTTTGCAGCGAAGGCAAAAAAGAGAACCCGCCAGGGAATCGATCCTACGACGTCTCGCACGTGAACCCGGACTACTACCGCTGCACTACTTTCCTTCATAACTCCATTCGGAAAATCGTTTGGCAGATTTGGAAAGCAGATTCGAGATCAGCGTCCAAAAACGCATCCACGGTGTAGGTCTCTTTACATATGGCCACTTCGACCAATCATCCATTCCTGGTAGGCTACTGTGTGTGATGCGCGCAGTGCGGGCGGACCAACGGTAGTAGGATATTCTGCTGACACAAGATAGAAGTTATACGATTAAAACTGCATTAGAGTAGTAGATTTTGAAAACAGAATAGTAGTAGAGTAGGAATTAGATGATAGTGGATTAGGATAAACTGAAAGCTAAAATGATTGGAAACGTACTGATCCTTCCACTGAAGACGCCTAAAAACAGTGAGGCGCTCATGGCCTTCAGGTAGAGGTGACATTCAAAACGCACTTAAAAACCGCTGGCAGGTGGCACTAGGACTAAGCCCAGGAGAGAGGAAACACCATGTGGAACAAAAATTGTTCCACCCTCCCACAGAACCCCATCCCCTCCCTAAGGCTCAGCCCCAAGTGTTGTAAATAACTCAGTCACTTGGATGTCTCCCACTTGTGGAGATTTCGATGCGCATGAGTGAAAATTCAGCGAATCACTAAATGACAGTGGCACAAATTTGCAGACAAGGGAATGCCTGGCGAAAAGCCAGGATTGAACTTACAGAACATACGAGCGAGAACATAGCGAGAACATACGTGTGAACACATGTACGTATGGCCATGTAGCTGCCTGAGTAATTATGACCGATTTAAAATATCAAAAAACCCTTGTGGGGGTTCCAATATTTATCGCGAATTACTTAGTCAGTGCTAGCGTCTTCACTACTAACTCCCGAGAAATCGCAAGTCCTCCTCTCGTCCGATGATTTAAGGCTGCCACTTGCACCTTTTCCTTGATCCTTCCCTCCAGTCCGCTAATGAGATAATATTGCCAGCGTAGAGATCGTCATCGTCGCCCCTTGATAAGCTCTTTAAACATAACATAACCAAATGGTCCCCCGGCAACCACCGGAACCTCTTGCCTTCCGTGAGTAAGCCTTCGTTCCTTACCCTTCTTTTATCCTCCCCCACACCTATACATTGTCTCCAGCTGTCACTTTTTCAAAGGCAGTCTCATGAAACTACCAGAATCGCGCAGCGTACACTCCGTTTCATGCAGCCAGAAATCCACGTGGCACACGTGGCTAAATTCTCGATGAAAAGGTGACGTCACGTGTGCTCAAAGATGTTCTTGATTCGATGCCACGTCAATGCCACGTCAATTTCTGCAATTGCACATTTTCTGGTTATTTGAAGGCGAGGGTATGTAACCCGTGGGTGCTATCAACAATCATAACACTTGCCTCCTCACCCTTTTACCAGTTTCCATTCTCTGCAGTCGTTCTTAGGTCTCCTGCGCATGGCAGGCACTCGTTGCCTGGGTGTGCCCCCCAGATTGATCGAACACCTTTTGGCAGCATGCACATAGACCGATTGTATGCATCACGAAGTACAATGAATTAGGAAGATATAGCTCGACAACACCATTTCCCAACTTTCTTGTTTCACACTTAGTTAGTTGTACATATAATGGTGGTTCTTTATCCAACTCAGAGATGCTCAACACGAACATGTTCAAACTTAATATGAATTTATATATGTGTTAAACTGTTCAGGCTTCTTAATTTGACGATACCACTGTGTTTAGGGTGTAAGTAGACAAAAACATAACAAGATAAGGAATGCGTTTTGTATCACATTATGTCTCGTATGTAAGCGAAATCAATATCCATTACAGCATAGAACATAATTAAACAAATAATAGCAATTATTGATCTATTCACTGTATTGATCCACTGCGCTGCTTAGTTGCTGTTGCTGTTGTTGTTGTTGTTGCTGCTGCTGCTGCTGTTGCGGTTGCTGTGGGCCTTGTTGCTGCATCATTGCGTAGGGTGGTGGATTACCGCCCATATTTTGAATTCCCTGCACTTGCTGCATGCCTGATTGCATGCCAGGCATCATTTCGACGCCACCTGAACTGACAATTGTTGCAATATGACCGCACCAAGGTTCCAAAGAAATATACACCAACTTAGGCAGACAGCTCTATGACTGGTCGTTGGGTCACATGCAGCACTCCTCCCACATGGGACGGGAGAAAAGATCTTTTAGATTCATAAGTTCTTCATGATTCGTTCCAAACGTTCCTCTCTTCTAATTTCTTATAATTTTTCTACATTAACACATTCGCTATAAACACGCCACTTTTGAAGTATAGCTTGGCTTCCGTTTCGCGCGTGTCCCTTCCGTCTAAGGGACACGTGTGAGACGGAAGCCAAGCAAATGTCTTCGTATAACGCCCACACAAATATAATATAATTTATTTTCATGTTTAACTGCTTCAGATAATTTGACTTGTTATTCATTGAGGCATTCATGACTGGGGAAAATTAAAACGAATTTTTCTCATCCTGGCCGAAGGGCAGCAAGCGGCGCCTGGTTACTTTCTCAGATACACCGTAAATAGAGCAATATATTTTGCGCCCACCTTCCAGATTGGCACAAGGTTCCCCATAAGAGTCCATGGGCCGTATGCTGAATGTTGGGGAGGGGACGGGGATGGGTAAATGTTGGGGAGGTTCGTCGCAGGACCCACTGGGCAACGGCCGCACCTTTGATTTTGCAGCTTTGTTTCCATTCTTCATCGCTGCTTTTGGTGTAAAGAAAGGTATTTACGTGCGAATATACAATCAGAAACAGTAAAAGGATGGAAACAAAGCTGCAAAATCAAAGGTGCGACCGTTGCCCAGTGGGTCCTGCGACGAACCTCCCAACATTTACCCACCCTGGAAACAGCTTACCCACGCCTTCTATCGAGTGCGGCGGCCGCACATCATTTCCGGTGACTCGCCCACTCGGACGGCGAGTTGTGAACTCTACACTTCGTTTCTTGATAATTCAGAGATGCGCACTCAGTCACGCAAGCGTAGCGCCACACATTCAATAGCATCAAAAAAGCAAGCTAATCTCTGCTTACGACCGTGCTCTATCCTTTGTCGAATCAAAAAGTAGCGAAAGCGGAAAAAAGTCACAATAACACGTACATTACAGATTAAGATTTCACAGTCGCCAACGAGTGTATATGGGACACAAAGCGTTCCTCCTTTTTTCCTCTTTAAGACGGGTGCGGGACTTTCGGCTCGTCCGGCCTGTCACGCGGCGAGTTCCGCGGCGGCACGCGCGGCGATCTGGACGGGACAAGGCTTCGCGGTTTTCTTCGGGTAGAATTCAACACGTCAATGCGTGTGCAGATCGCGAATAAACTCCGCATGGTTCTGCTGTTTGAAAATCTTTCCGCTCCACACCAGTTGGAAGCAGCAGTATCGGTGAGGAGGATCCAGCCGCAAGGAGTTGAGTGAGGGCATTCATGTAAATGTCACTACTACCATCAAAGCAAATAAGAGTCACTAAAATGGGGAGTTTTTGTTGAGGTATTTAACGTCAACTATATTGCTATTATATTATTGTCAACTATATATGTTTTGCTGATCGAGGCGCTCACGCCCAAAGGAGAAACATTCGAAACAAAACAACAAAACAGGGTCGACGGTAGGTCACTAGGACTAAGCCCAGCACAGGAGAGGAACGCCAGGGAGAACAAAATTACTTCCCCCAGAATCCCTTCTCCTCCCTAAGTCTCGTCCCAAACACAGTGATTGGCTCACTCACTTCCCCCTAATGGAACGTCCCCCCCCCCAAAACATGAGCGCCCTGATTGCCGTAACAGCACTACGCTAGTTCCTTCTTATCTCTTTCTACTGTTACAACCACCGCTGTCCTCAAAATTCCAGCCGTTCAGATGTATTTCGAATTGCAGAACCTTGCCGGATTTTATCCGCATCCTCCTACTCCACCGTTGACTTGAATGAATCCTGCGATGCGTCGGCTCCGCCAGCACACGTCTCGCCGCGCAATTGCGGCTGCCCAACCCGGACGTGAGCCACCAGCCACCGTCCCCCCTACTGACAGACAAAGATCGCACGCGAATCACACCTAGTGGCCTGTCAAGGCAATGCGTGAGTGTCTGAACAACCACAATTGAATTTGGTCCCAAGGAAAAAAAGAACTGATTAATGAAATTCCTGCCTAAAAATAAACCACACACATCTTCGAAATGTTACCTCCAGGCTGCTGAATCATTCCTTGAGGATGTTGTTGAAATGACGGAGGCATCTGCTGTCTCATCATCATAGGTTGTCCCGTGCCATCCTTCCCCTAATGAATCCAAATTTTGCTGTTACTTGAGACGATCGGAAAAGCAAATGAAAAAATAATAATAAAGGGTAAAACTCCATCAAATACATGGGTCGGGATCAAGTTGGTGTGTTATTTTGCTCGAGAATTCTAGAAGAAGTGCGAAGAGGACACCAGTGGTAAGAAGACGCAAAGAGCGCCAAAGAAAACACTATACTTCCTCTTGCAAGTGTCAAGCCCGTGCTTTAACGGGAGACCACAACGCTGGCCAGAAGAGGAAAATACGACAGAGCCAATTGTAGGCGAAGGTGTAGACGCCACATGTGTCGCGATTGTTAAGGATGGCAGCACGGCAGCACTCAAGCAAGACATTAGCGCCGTTGCCTCGCACTTCACATTCGCGACAGGTCGCACCTCCTGCGCTTGGGCCTTCTTTCTCACTTTCAGAGAGACCACTTTTGCATCTCACCCCGATCCGTGACTTTAACACGGCCGGAATGAAGAAAATTCAATGTGGACTTCAGAAGAGATGAAGCCGAACATTGGCAACAACAGCAACAACAAAGCAATTGCAATTTCACCCTTAACCACTGAGGTTGCCGGCAGCTATCGGCCTGCTTTCTCCATTATGTTATTTTTTTTGAGACAACTAGCCATGAGAAATAACATTGCTCCACTAAAATGTATGCATCATTTTTCACAACATATTCGCCTTCCGTCACGTAGGCTGGTGTCAGAGTCCGCGATCCGTCGCAGATTTCGGCTGATTTTCGCGATTCACGCGATTTTTAATTTGTGCGACATTCGTGATTAACGCGACGAGCCACGGAAATAACACAGTGTGCCATCAATACTGCAAGGTGTTCTCCAGTATCGAAGCCACTCTCTGCTTGATAGTGATGGCCGAATGACTGCTCATGATTCCACTTTTTTCACCTTCAGTGTTTCAACAGTTCGAATGGGGCACTTGCAATTTTTTGCGATCCGCGCGAAGCCTACGACGATCAAGGGAATTGAAAGTGCCCGATCATCCTCCCTCCCCTCTACTTTTTTCATGTTATGGGGAGCCGCCGCGGCGAACACGACCGAAGATTTGACGGGAAAATCCGAAAACACTCCAGCACAGTTCAACAGAACGAATCATGAGCATTTCAGTGAACTAATAGACATTGAACATGAAACAAGTAGAATCACGAACAGTCTTCTTTCAGTCTTCACTGCCAAGCCGAATTCGCTGCAGGATTAACAGCACCTCGCAGTATTCATCTGGGCACTTGAGGACATAAACCCCAAGTTCTTGATTCAAAACAAAAGGTGTCCTTTTTGGGTTCCTACATCCTAGATCGCTGAAAGTCTTCTCTCTTATATGATGGGCAAAAGCAGGTTCAAGTTCAAAACGGAAGAAAATAAAAAAGGCAGGGAGGTGAAACAAAAGAACGGGTCAGAGGCTCCCAAGAGGGACGAAATCTGCCTGGGTACCCTGTTCGCTCTGCTCTGCTAGAGTCAGAAGAGTGCCCATGAAGAGGCTGACGGCATGGTAAACGCGCAGTGGAGCATGGCTAGATGTCTGCAAGTCGTACTGACTTGTAATTCAAAGAATTAGGTTTTAGTAGTTCGCATCACACACCAGTATGCTGGGTTGTGAACAAAACTTTCGCCCCAGACGGGACTCGAACCGGCACCTCTTGCTTACCGAGCAAGTGCGCTACAAGTTACGCTACCGGGGCACCATTTCATCTCAACTCAGCTTTTCAAGAAGAGCTCTTGAAGAACGACAAAAAGCTCTTAACGAACTGAGTTGGGATGAAGTGGTGCCCCTGTAGCGTAACTTGAAGTGCACTTGCCCGTAAGCGAGAGGTGCGAGTTCGGGTCCCGTCCGGGGCGAAAGTTTTGTTCACAACCCAGCATACTTGTGAAACATGTGCAAGGCGAACTGCGCCCAAAAACAGCAGTTAATAAACAAAAACAAGTCCTAAATCCAAATCATACATAACTTAACAATGAAACAAGAAGCGTAAGAGAATATAAGAGAGCTTGGGCTGTCACAATTTCCTACACAACAGTGAGACAAAGATGGACGGCAGTTCAAATGGAATGATAAGGTGTAATACCACGAGAAATGTCGAGCGCTAGCGCCACTCGGTACTCATTCGACGTTATGAGCGCATCGAGCAATAAGAAAAACGAGGCATATCCGAGGCGTCGGACATACTACCCAATGAAGGAATGAAGGTTAATCAAAGAAAAAAGCTCAATTCATAAAGAAGACGTATCTGGATTCTTGAAACTATTTATTTACTTACCCATGTTTTGATGTTGGAACTGTTGACCTCCTTGCATCATGTTCATCGGTTGTTGAGCGGAAACTGGCATCGATGCTGGCATTGGTTGGCTCTGTATAGAAAAAGTTTACATAAATTACACAGAGTAACGATAGTGATTGAAAAAAGGCAGTAGACTGTGCTGTGGAAACTAATTCTCGAAACAAATTACCGCAAAAATAGGCTGTTGTTGATACTGCTGCTGTTGTTGATCATCAAATCCACCCTTAGCCACTGAATAGTCCCCAAATCGACAGATCCGCTTAATCAATGAAAGACTTAAAATTTGACATTCAAATTGTTCCAAAACAAACAGCAACGAGACAAACCCGAAAAAGGCCATGCTCTGAACTTATTATACGAGCGACAACATTGCGGCCGCACCCGTATAGAAATGTGCATCAACTAAGTAGAGGCCTGAAACTAACTTGACTGCGGAATTATGTGCTGCGGCTGCATCGGCTGATGGAATTCTCCTCCCGAAAACATTGGTTGGCTATTTGCATTCATCTAAGAAAAAAGACAATTAAAGCTGAGATGATAAATCTGTTTCTTGATAGTGATTTACATGTGTAACTGATAATAGAATACTTCTAAATGTAAGCTAGACCTAGAAAAATGGGTGCTAACTTAGGGGGGGGGCACGCGCGCGGCGGCGCGGCAGTCTGCTCGCCTGGCATGTTCGGAAATCCGTGGGCCAGGGGGAGTGTAGGCAGTCTAGGGGGGGGGGCAGTCACTTGACATGCGTGAAAAGCTGGAATGTTCGAGTTTACACTGTCTCGCTCGAGAGAGCCCAGGTGAGCAGACTGCCGCGCCGCCGCGTGGCCCCCCCCCAACTAAGTTAGCACCAGACATAATATCAATTGATCACCTGCAGAACTATTAAAAAGAGTATTCCTCATTCTACTCACTTGCCTACTGTGGCTATTGATTACCTTCACATTTGTTTCGCCAGCACTGATTCAGACTTACTGCTCGTCCTTCGATCTCTACTGAATTTTTCTCGAAATGGAATGGATTTGGTTAGAAAGTTGTCCGTGGGCAACCGAAAACGTTTAGTGTCCGCGAAAAGCCACCTTAGATCATCCAGATACTTCCCCTTAGGAGTAATTTTAATGAGTAAAAACACGAATATCACATTTGCTGCTGAGAAAGTGTTTGTCGCTTGCGCTAGAGATCGGCGCCACACGAACACGGTCGCGCCGGAGCCTGTGAACCAAGCCTTAGGCGCTTTCGCGCCATGCGCATGTGATATTATTGTTCACTACGGTTCACTACTCCTTTGGGCGACTTTTTGCCAAACCCACCACTGTTCGCAGATGATAAGGAAAATCCAACTGTGTCCGAAGAGTGGGCCAGCCAAGGATGGATAGTGCCTTTTCACAAGAATAAAAGTGGCATGAAATAATGAGCTACATTTCAAGATTGCTATTTGAGTTAGGGGCTATTGGTCATCAATCACGACCTCTAAGGTTAGGTCTCCCTTGATATGCTGTTGCATGACAGCTTTATGTTACAATGAGACATGCGACATGCTAGGTAAAGTGAAATGACTGTGGCACAAAGATTATCAAAAGAAGCAATTCTACCTGCTGACCACCCATCCGAAGTCGTTTATTTACCGGTTCCGAATCAAGTTGTTGATTCATAGCTTGATTGACCTATATGAAAAGTGCAGGAATTGTACAGAACATGATGCTTTTATATGAACAGACTTGGGGATTTGTTGCTTGTTGATTTTGATCGTCCACGATGTTCATAGCAAGAGATTTTTTGATATCTGCGTCCGGAAGCGATTCACGCTTGGGGTATGGTATTTCAAACTTATAAAATACATCTTCTGTCGGTTTTGGATCCATCTGAAAGAAAGACCATTCACAAACTTATATCATTTTGAGGTCAAAATCGTGTTCCAACGCAGTCAACATAATCAGAGCATGTTACCTTAAAATACGGCTCCTCCATAGCATCTTTGCAAGATATTCTCTTATTCGGATCCATCGTCAGAAGCTTTACTAAAAGCTTGAATTGTGGCGAGTCAGATTCAATCTTGTGCTTCTCCATGTACCGAGTCATACTGCAGTTAGGAAAGGCTGTTCTGAAACAAAAAAACCTTAGTTTTGTCGTGACGAAAATAGGATTGTAAACGAATGAAAAGCATACTGTGACGACTTGATGTCCGTTTGAAGTTTATGATAATCGGGCATCTTCTTGAAATCAGTCCATTCACTTTCTTGAGGGTAACCCATAACAGTGAAAATCCTGAGCACAATTTTCCTTTTGACTGTTAATCAATAACAATGCTATTTTTGTATACCTTTTTAGTTGATCATAGTGGTAAGGGCTTTGAGCCTTTATATCTTCTTCTTTGCAAAAGAAAACTGGTTCAGCCGTAAGTAATTCAGCGAATATACATCCTATAGCCCAAACATCGATGGCCTGAAGATGAATTGTGATGAATCCTACTCTTCTTATGAGACCTATTCCTACGTCCTTATTGTTCGACTCAGAAAGAGACATAAACCTTTTCAATAGGCGAAAACAATACACTGATAACCAAACGCGAATAAATGTCAACAATACACAATGATTTGCCACGTCGAACCAAAATGATGAAAAATCCTAAGTAAGGGGAAGACCAGCGAAACATCTATAAAAAATAATCGAGTTTGAGTTTCAGAGGCACAAGACAGGCAGGGCAGGCACCCAGGCACGAGGCAGGTTGTCGCTTCACTTCGCCCCGTAGGATAGACTCTGGAGAACAATCACAGAGCTGGCACTCACATGCATGAAGACCCGTCAACGGCCCTAGGGCCTTGCAAAGACTACTTCATCAGCTTCAATTTTTCCGTTTGCAGCAGGCTAGTGCATGGCACTCTTTCATCTGTTGCGCTCTCGTCTCATTCTGTGCCTCAGTCTCTCGTTGCCTTAGCACAGCCGTATTACAAAGGTGAGCAAGCCCTTAGGCGTTTTAACAGATTACTTTCCTATTTTCTTTATTGCCGGCTCATTTCTCACCACTACTAACACATCTCGTTATTTTAAAGATAACGGCATCACAATTTCAGACAGTGCCTGAAGCACGAAACCAAGTTGCTCTCCTTCAGTGATTTCTGACAAAATATAAATTTGGTTTGGAGATACCCTATCCAATAATTAATATATGGATTTCGGATTTTCACATTTCACTTGTGCATATTGTATTTGCTAGAAATGATGTTACCAGAAAAGGGGCTCAGTAGTATTCCTTAATCCTTTGGCAACAATGCGGATTTGCACGTAGCGAGCTCTTGGGACCACACTTCATTTCAGGGCGCCCAAGTCTCGCTCAACATTGGGCAAAATTGTCTCTAGAAGCAGTTTTGCTACTGAACTGACTTAAAGGACGAATTCACGATGAAAAAGCAACCCATTTCAAATTAACCTAGGGATGGTGAGTGGTACAAAGAAGGAAGAACCATGAGAAACGGCCCAGAACCCGAGAAATGGGACCCCTTCCTTGCCCGTTGATTTGAGCATTGATGCGACTCTCATCGCTGTGCCCTCTTCAACACTACGCTCTCTCTCTCTTTCGGCTATCTAATCCGCGCCACTTTAGCTGCGGCGAGTTGATCAGAATACATCGGTAGGCGTGCACAGCCCACCGCGCCAAGATTTGAGCCTTAATAGGTCGCCGAGGTCAACTCCTTCGGTGCCAATTGCGCTTCAGTCCGCACCCTCAGGAGGTCCGTGGGTCCCTCAACTAGGTGAATTACTCCTTCTTCGACCTTCATTCTAATCGTGAATTCCTCCTTTAAAGGCAAAAGTCGGGCTCAATAAGGGGGTATTATGGCGATTGAAACTGAGTATAGAGATGCGAAGTGGAACGACAGTGGAGAAAAAACTGAGAAAAACCGTCGACAAGGCCGTTAACAAAACCCTCTTTCCCACTAGCAGTGAAGGAGGCTGGCTTGGGAAAGAGGCACGTACAAACAAGTTCTATCGGTTGATACGGCAATCAACCTAGCTGATTTCACACGTTATGCCAGCCACGCACCACATCCCAAGGTGGGCGGTCGTAGCGGGGCCAGGCGGCGATAGCGCATAGTACATGCCCTGGGGCCTTATTACTGCGCCGTTTCGAGATTTTGAGCGTGGGAACATCTGTACGGGTGCGTAACCAAGTACAGAGCATGACCGAAAGGGTTGGTTTGGTCAACTAATCCCGACCTTTGCCTTTAACATACCAATATGACTTCAATTTTATGCTTCCACATTATATATTGTTGGGAAGAGAAGTGGAAATGTGGAAGGGGAACTATTATTCCAAAAAAGGAGAGTGAAAACCCTAGAAATTTATGTGCAGCAAAATTTTCGACATAGTTGAAACTCCTCTGTGTGTCTGAAGACTACGAAAAGAACTAAGAATTTCTAGTTGGCTGGCTAGCTAAACGCCGCATTTTCAGATTTCATATTAATTTGCTCTTTTAACATTCCTGTAACCATGCTAGACATAGATATTATGAAGCTTGCTTTAATTATTGGAATGTTAAAAATGTTTTAAATGCGCAAAGAAGGAAATTTTAAGGTGGCACCCACCATTGGGTGCCATTGTCCCACGCGGCGGACATAGTGGCACCCACCGGTGGGTGCCATATCTCCAAAGGGTTAACATACCTTAGTGTAATGTTTGGCCCCGAGCAATAACTCTGGCGCACGATACCAAAACGTAACTACAACAGGATCCAATTCCGCTAGAGGCTTCAGAGGGTTATAAAATATCCGAGCAAATCCCATATCGGCTATTTTCACCCTGGAATACTAGTACAATAATTCAAGAGAACGCTGCTCATGATGCGCAATGTATACCTTCCACGATGAACTCCAGGTGCATCACCCATGACTAGTATATTTGCAGGCTTCAGGTCGCGATGAAGAACCCAGTTGGAATGAAGATAATGAATCCCTGAAAACAGAATCTTAATAGACGTGGCAATCCAAGCATTTGGAACATTATAACCTAATTAGGTGATGCTGAGACTACCTACTGGAATCCGGGTGTGGGTACTTAGGACAGAACGCGACTTTTTCGCTCTTCGCAACGCGACATCGCGCGGCAGGCTGGCGCACCCGCAGCGAAAACAACTACGGTATGGAAGAACGCGCGATTGGAGCAGCTTTTTTGCATGCGTGAATTTGTAAGTTTCTGATTCCTTACTTGCCCGCGCTCACACCCATTGTATTGATAAATGCGGTGAATCACTAATTCTGTCTCATTATTGAAAACGTTTTGTGACTTACACGATTCCGGGCGATGCCACTAAAATGGTGTTTTACGAATTACCGGAGAACGATGGCTTAAAGCAACAGTCCACGCTGGGTGGGCGTGGTTGGAGACGACGGCAATCCCCTCGGCCGATTACGACTTACGCCCACTTTAGCTCCCTTCCTAGCGGCTTCCCAAGGTGAGTTTTTGTTCAGTAACACTTCTTAT